CTTCCGATTTGATTTGAAACTGTCTCATTGCTGTTTATCAATAAAATTTTGAAAAAAATAAAATAAAATAAAATAAAATAAAATGTGCACATCCCAAACACAAGACATTTATCTTCTTTGTATAACTGTAAACATGGGAGAGTATATCTGACATATATGGGTTAGTCAGTAAACTATTATAAAAATGGCTGAGTAACTGATATCTACCTATAGAAAAATACAGAAAAACATCAAGACAAATAGTAGAAATAAGTACTTGAATATGCATGGGATAAGTGCTTATGTTATTTAGGTTAGTATAATTCTACTACTCATTTGGTGTTTTCTTCCCCTATTAGAATGTATGTTTGAGTTTCCCTTTCCTTGTACATGTGAAGGAAAAATAAAAAGTACAGTCAGTGAAGATGATTCTTACAAAATCTAGGCATTTTTAGATTGGTATCCTAATTATCAGTCTCTATGTACACAGATACAGGAGAAAACTCTAAGCAAATAAAAAAATATAAACTACTTACACCAACTGGTATTACTATCTGAGAAATTGGACTCTTTTGTATCAGAATGAACATTTCTATTCCTAGTGGAATCTTCTCTATTGTGTCCATAACGTTCTTTCCATTCCTAAAAGGAAATATAAATGAATACATATCAAAAGAATAGAAAATAGCAGTGTCAACAGATTCTGTATGTGATTAGTTTCAACAAAATTATATTACTATTAGTATAAACATAGTGCCTTTAATCATTTTAAGTGACTTACTTGAATCAGTCACCTTTAACTGTGATTTCTAATAAAGACATTTATAGAATTCAGTCATCTATTTTAACCTATAGAGGTCTCATCTAAACTATGCTAGGTGTTTTTGGACTCTCTGACTAGGTAATATCTTTCTACATTTGAGCAAAACATTATAATTGTGGTAAATGGTGGAAGTTAAGAAATTCTCAGAGGTGAAATCTTTTTCTAGTGACTTCTATTCTTTGATCCTAGTAATCTCTCTTGAAATAAATGGTATCAGAGGTATGTTCAACTCCTCAAGATGAATATGTAACATACATGTGCGTTTTTCATAAAATCAATTGTATCTCAATGTTTTTCTAAAAAGAAAACAAAAAAGAACAAGTCTTCCTTTTACAGGATATATACTACAATACAGACAACTATCAAATTTCCTTTCTCCTTCATTTGATCAGTAAAATACTTCTAGGTGTTAAAATCTTGTTGTAATTATAAACAGTTTTTCTCAATTTTTACTTTTCACTAAGAGGACGTTAGTTTGCCTTAGCAAATGAAGAAGTAAGAGGGATAAAATTAATGCCACGTTATTAAAAAGTGTAGGAAGCCATTAACTGGTATCCATTTTATAATAGTGTCAACCATTTTCTTAAGTTTCTATTCCCCTGCTGAGTTAAGTTTCTGCACCTTCTGCCTTGCCCATTCCCCGTGAATCACGTGCTATGCCCCAGGGGTGGGACCTTCCTCCGTTGCCTAGATACTTGCTAAGGTCAAGAGCCTAGAGTTCTTCATTCCTACACTCCCTTTATATGCCCAGCACCTCCCCTGAATAAACGAGACTTGATCAGAACTTGTCTCCATTTCTTGTGTCTCCTGTCCCTTCTCATCCCCACTCCCCCTCTAGCGTCCTCATTGACTAACCCGCTGGTTAGGGCAAAGAAAGCATAACAATTTTAAAGCAATCAAAACTACTTTAAGGGGCTGGGGAGATAAGTGCAGCAGCAGAAGCACCTGCCTGGCAAGGGCAAGGTCTCGAGCTCTTCCTGTGTACTACAAAAAACAAAACAAAACAACAAAAAACTACTTTAATAGCAAGGGTTCATGAATTTATTCATTCATTCCAACAAATATTTACTGAAAAAACATACCTTAGGCAACAAACTTTGCCACTGGGCACAAACCACCTAGTTACTAGTAACATTTTGGGGAAAAAAAGACAAGACAGCTAGCATTTGCATATGAAAGTAATAAAAATCCCCTTCCTTTAAAAACATATCCTGAGTCATTTCCCCACTCTTTTTCACCCTTATTTTATTTTAATGTATTTAGTACAAGGTGTCACTCCACAGATCAGATTCATAGTGATCCTCCTGTTTTCAGCTTCCCAAGCACTGGGATTACAGGCACAGGCCACCACACCCAGTCTCAGTCACAGGTGGTGGGGGGGGGCAGCACGGCAAGCTAGGGATTGAACCCTGGTCCCTGTGTCTGCTTAAGCAGATGCTTTAATCTGCTGAGCTATTTGGATGGTCCTGATTTTCTACCTTTAATCAATTACTCTAAATCAGCAAGATTCTTATTATTTTTTAAGTGATTTAATAAATACTATACTTACTCTTCTTCGATTTTCACCTTCTTCTTGCCTTTGTCTTTTTCTCTTCTCTAGAGACAAAAATTATCTCAAATTTGATTTAATATTTTTAATTAGACAGTGAGTAATAAGATATTTTCTCATGACCTAAAATTTGTTGCCCTGTAACTTCTATTCTTTTTAGTTGTATCTTCTAGGCTGAATTCATACCTTTTTGTCTTTTTGTATAGGAGTCCTTTTTCTTGTTATTTTTAAGTCATATAGCACCCCCCCTTTAGGATATACTATAATTTTGGCTGTCCTCTAAACCTAATTTATCAGTCCTATTTGTAAAAATCTTACTCAGATGAGATCTAATTAACATAAAACAAAACTACTGTATTAACTAAACCCTCCCTTCAATGAAATTAAAGAAGAACTATAAAGTACTTGGGAATTTCAGAGAATGCCCAAATACCTATGTTCCAAGTCAAATTCCTCCCATCCAACCTTCTACCACTGTTTGAATATCAATAAGTTAATACATTCAATTTGTGATTAGCCTCTAGTACAGTGCACTATAGTGCTTGCATTCTCACATTAAGGACCATATAAGAAGAGAAATAGCCTTGGATTGAATGATTTCTCATGTAGCATTATACTAGTGACTAATAAATTTCATAGTAACATAAAACTTGGAAAATATGTTTCAAGACACACATGAAAACAACTCTAAGACAATAAAAAGCTGTTTTAAGTTGTAAATATAATTTATACTGCAGAATTTCTTACAGAAAGCTGAAACATTTGTTTTCAATTTACTTTTCCTTAAAAAACATAGCTTTTTAGCTAAACAGCATTAATTTCTAATTTCTTAAAATATATTAAAGATTATATACAAATTATACAATCATTATTCCTTCACTTGGTCTTAGCACTTCGCATTTTCTTTTCATTTACTTTAAAAGACAAAATTACCTCTTTTGATTAATTCTCTTCCTTCATCAACTAGGTCTGATGTCATATCATTGTCTCCCATAAACTGCTGGAAACCAAGCAGATTCAAACAACGGGTGCCCAAACTAACAGAATTAGACATTCATAAAGACAAGTGTTATTTTCCATTGTAAACATTTAGATAAACTGTTCCTTAGCATGGTTACTTCTAAGAAGCCTATGCTTCCTTATTATTTATTTTGCAAAATTACATAGTACTATATGTAGCATTCTTTAGGAAGTATCAATTTTCCTTTCTAAGAAGCTTATTCCCAAGCAGTTTTCTCACTACAATGTATAGATTTCTTACAGAAGTAAACTATATTGGGCCCTATACCATCCAAAAATAAAAAAAAAGGACAGAAGAAAAAAGAAAACTGATCAGTGTTTTCAAAAAGTGGTATTTCTGGTGCGTCAAGGAGCAGTTAGGAGGTGAGAGGGCAGACAAACGTAAGTGAGGATCTTCCACCTATGAAAGTGCAGAAGGGCGCTAAGGACAGAACACCTGTCCGTTAACTGCTTTTGAATTTTATGTTTGCCAAGATTCTATTATTTTCTCTAACCACATTAAAACAAACAGACCATCATAAGCCTTTCGAAACTAGAGGAGAATTTCTTCTCCGGCCCTAGATGTATTCCTGGTTATAACTGCTCATCACCTGACTCATTATGATGGCCGTGATTTGAGGCATTTAGAAACCCAGCAATAGTTATGGGGAAAGCCCTAAGATTAAATTATGAGTTATTAGAAACAAGTTAGATACAAAAGGGTTTGCGAGTTATATTGGCTGTCACTGACAAAGGCCAGGACTTTGGATTTAATGTACTTTATTAATCACATCACTTCATAGCTTAAGTGACTGTAGCAGAATAACACTACTTCTCTTCATTACAATATCTGTAATGACTCAATCATTAAAGAAGTTTCTTCAAACTATCCCCAGCATCCTCAAAGCCAAAATAAACAACTAAGATGCAACTAGTAAATATTTAAAAGACTTTTACAAAGAAAACATACCAAGATCAAACTAAGGATATGAGGAAAAATGTTAAATTTCTTACCTAAAATAAGTAGCAATACAGAGAATTACCACCAACATAGGATAGTATATATAGAATCCATCTGCAATAAAGGATAAAACTTTCATGGAACCCATAATCTGAAGAGCAAAAAACAGGAAAGGTATATCAGCATAGTTCTCTATTTTTCATTCCTTTACATAACTAGAAATTTTCCCATAACTAGTTATATCAATAAACCAAACTTTAAACTTCTCAAAAACTAAACACAAAGCAATGAATGACCTCATTTTAAAAAACTTGCTTTCTACTAAGACTTTCTTCTATAGAAAACTAGTATTTTATAAATCCTACCCCAAGGTATATAAAGTCTATAAATATGAAAGTTAATGTTATTTTCAGTTAGGTCTTTTAATATGAATCAGTTAGACAACCTAATGAACCAAGAAACATTTTCAATAAGAAGATAAGCAAATCACTTTTATCAAGTCATCAGTAGTTATATATACAATCTTTCAGAGAAAGTTTCCAGTAACATCTTATATACATAACACACCCAAAGGGTTTCTTTCTTTTTTTTCATACTTACAGATGTATAAGCAGTAGGCTGAGTATTCTTGTGAGAAATGGAGGAATCCATATGGGTCAAACCCAGGAAATTAAGACATAAAGGAGGAGTCAAACGGCAAAATAACCTACAGTAAACATTTAAAAAAATATAAAAATGCAGAAGGATATATTTTATATCATACTCAAATGTATTCAGATCACTTAGCTATAATATTCATTTAATTGTGTAATATATATTTTGAATTCTTAATGTTCACTGCCCTTATTCACTTGGGTGATATTCAGAACATAATACTAATCACATCCCTCTAATCATCAGTACCTGCAAAGCAAAACTACAGCCTTGAGTTGCCTGTGATTGTTTTGTCCACCACTGTTTTCTCTGCATGACTTGTGGAGGGACTTTTGTCTATGCCTCCTCAATTCCACCATCTGTGCAAGCCATCTAACAGTATGACAGAGATAGTAACATCCACAAAGTGAATGGAACCCAGTACGTAATAGGTCTAAAGTATCAAAACGTGTCACTTAGACAGGTACAGCTATGAAGAACTGTTCAGTTTTGTCCAGACAAAGAAAAAGTACCTTACAAAACTAGAGTTGAAGAATTGGGAGCGGAAAGGCTGATGGGGTGTAAATATAAAGATGTAATATGAGAAAGTTCTTTTGTAAAATAGAACTCTGTAGCTCAATTGTAATTTCAGTAAAGTTTTAATGTAAATTTCCTAGTTTTGATATTAATATTATAAAACAGGTATACAAGATACCACCCTAGAAGAAGCTTGGTGTATATATAGGCTCCTTAGTGTATTTGCATCTTCCAGTAAGTCCAAAACTATTGTAAAGCAAAGGAAACTCTTAAAAATGCTTGAGATATCAATGCCTTTAAGCTTTCCTGAGTCTATAAATATGTCATAACCCATACAATTATCTCATAGGACTAATGGAAAAGTAAACAATATTGTGCAATCTAGCCCAAGGTAGAGCCATCTCTCTAAGTTAACTCTAAATCCTCAAGAAATTAGCTCCAAATCCTCACATATTCCAATCAGTTTTCTTAGTTCTCCTCAAAACAAGTTGAGGCCACTGATCTTCAGATTATTCTGCAGGTATGACTCAGTCTCTAAATTTGGCACCAAATAATTAAAAGATAACTTTCAATTATTTCCACTAAGTAACTCATCTATAAACTGAATCTTAAGTTGGTAAACTTGGTCTCCCTATGTCTTTCTTTTCCCTCCTAACCTGTCTTACTTAACTTTAAATCTCAAGGAGGATTTAGCTGGTACTAAAAATCAGTTGGCTCATAGAAATGTAGGTGTCAGTGCAATACTCATTCATAAACATTAAGGAACAGGAGAGATCCACAGTGATACACACTATGGAGACATTTCTATTTCGAAATTCAATCCCACTTACATGCCACTGAAAAGTAGACTATACGCATCAGTCTGGTGATGAGAAGCCAAGTAATAATAGTTAAATACACGAATCCTGAATACAGTAGAATAAACACAAATACTGAGGAAAAAGATGGAAAGGAAGCAAGCAATCTGGAAAAAAAATTGATTAAGACTAATGAGTATCACAGGAACTGTTTATTTCAAGCTAACATTTATTGATGTTCTGAAATTTAAACACAGTGATGGAATTTTAAAAAATCACCTAAGAAAATGAAATTATAGAAAAAAAAATCTATTGAAACCAGTTCAATAACCTAGATCTACAAGTTTCAAGTCTATCTCCTAAAGTAAGTTTCTTTTCCCATACCCTTGAAAACACTTCACATAAAGACCCTAAATTACATAGCTTCACTGACATAAAGAGCAAAGTATTCTCATAAAATAATCTTCACTATCTTGTACTTTTTCACCTCTCTTTAAATACAGTTCACTTTTTATAGTCTGGGTAAACTCATTTTTGGAAGTCTCAGTAATACAGTAGAAAACATCACTGCTTTCATTATTACTAAAAGAAATATATATATATATATGAGAAAAACACAACAATTAGGGTTAAACTATGAATATATTTATAACAGATATAAAGTAAACTGACCTCAATATAAATATAATTGTATGTTTTTTCTGCCAGTTGTATGAAGACTGCAAAGAGGGATAAGACAGGAGTTGTGCTAAAGAACGTACACTCTGACCATACAACAATCACAGAAAAGATGGACAAAACCACGGCAAGAATCCTGTAAAACCACGGTCGCAAAAGACATTCCCAGTACCATTCTAAAAGATAAAAGAAAAATAAAATTAGGGAAATAGAGAAGTAACAGGGTATTTTTACTATTTCAAAATATATCCAATAAAATAATTATAAAAAGAATGACGGTGGAGAAACCAGGTATCACTCAAGTGAAATGATCACTAGTAATGAGACAAACTGTGATCTCATGTACTTCCTGCTGTAATGAAATGAGCAGAAAATAATGTCACTGTCGTGATATTCCTGCCCAAAATGCAGAACCTGTACCTAATCCACAGGACATTCAACAAAAAAATGACCCATACCTTCCACAAACTTCTATGTTATAAAACACAAATAAAGCCTGAGAAACTGTTCTTGATTTAAGGAGACTAAGAAGATAGGACAACTGAATACAACACAGGATGTAAAATTTTTTTTACAAAGGATATCATGGGAATAATTAAGCAATAAGGACTTGAATAACAAGACAGTATCAATAATAATTCCCTGATTTTGAAAGTAGCAACTGGTAAGAATGTATCTCTAGTTTTAAAAATTCACACTGAAACATTAAGAAGCAAAAGGGCACCATGTTTGAATTCAAGTGTAAAACATTAAGGAAATACACAGAGAAAAAAAAGCAAATTAATATGGTAACTTCTGATATTAGAAGAACCTAGGTATATGAGACTATATTATGAGATTCTGGTTTGATTAAGTTGGGATTTAGGTAAAAATAAAAGTTAAGAGAGTGGGCGTGGTGGTGCATGCTTGTAATCCCAGCACTGGGGAGGCTGAAAACACGAGGATCTCTACAAGCCTGAGCTGTGTGGCTTATAGAGACCCTGTACTAAATACAAAATAAATATATATAGATATATAGATATAGATACAGATATAGATAGATAGATAGATAAATAGAGATATTTAAAACCCAGAAAGAATAAAAGTTAAAAGCAAAAAGAAAGCTCAATAAAGCCTTATTTGTATTTAAGGGGCTAGTGAATAAACCCAGGGCCTCCTGTATGCTAAGCCTGTGTTACCCTACTCAGCCATACCTCAGAAAGGCTTTCACTTTATATACTGAAAAATTGAGCTCCCACCTAATAGAAGTAAATCCTTTCAACTCTAAGCTCAGCATAATTTCTGGTGATTTCATCATCCACTTACATGATCCTATTTTGACTATGATCCTCAGTTTCTTTGCCTTTTCTCTGAGCTTGCCCTCAACACTATGTCACACATTCCTACAGTCTTCCTTAAACCAAAATACTGAGAGTACTGTTGTATACTTTCTCCTCCAAAACCTTCTGCCTCCCATACCTACTCTTTACATGTTGCTAAGCAAATAGAAATGAACAGAATAGAACTTCCCCACGTTTCCACTATTACATACTCTCACATCTAAGGTACCTCTGCTCCTTACTCCTAACTTCATAGTTTACTCTTTCTCATCTGTAAACACCATTCCAGAACTCTCCACTATCCCATATCAAATTTCTTCTCTCTGCAGCATTCCCATATTACTTGCTATAATTTCTTCTTTACCTATACTCACCAATCCTCTGTCAGCTACTCCTTTTCTTTGCTCTTTAATAAGGAAAACATCATGACAGTTTTCTACCATATCTTTAGTTGCCTTCCTTCTTCTAAACCTCAGTCAAGCTTTATTACCTTTCTTCCATCTCTCTTTCCAGTGAGCAAATCTCAGTATTCATGTTGAAGCCTATCTTGAACAAATGAAATGTATGTTACACACCCTTTTCCTCAAAATATTTTTCTCCTGGTTTATCTTCTATCTCATTGGCCACTCCTTTTCTAGTCTTTCTGCTTATTCTTCCTTATCAATTAATCTCTAAAATCCAGATTTGCTATATTCCTCCTTATCAATTAATCTCTAAAATCCACATTGCGCCACTCTTTCTCTTTTCTATCCCAGTTGCTTCTTGAGCAATCTTTTCCTGACCCATGGCTCACTATCCACTGAAGGTTCCCTAATCTATATTAGCAGTTAAGTCATCTGCCCTGAATTTCTATTTCTAGCACTAATTACCTTCTTATCACCTTTATTTATTACTGTGTGCATGCACTGTATGTTTTTCTCAACCCACAAGGGCAGGAATTTTTGTCTTTTTAAATTAATACATATAAGGCCGGGGAGATAGCTCAGCAGAATAAGTGTTTGCCTGGCAATCACAAGGGTCTGAGTTCAATCCCCGGTTCCACCAAAAAAAAAAAAAAAAGTGCTTTTGGGGCTGGGGAGATGGCTCAGTGGAATGAGCGCTTCCCAGGCAAGCGCAAGGGCCTTAGTTCAATCCCCAGTTCCACAAAAAATTAATTAATACACATACAGCACCCAACAAGGAACAAAATTTATGTATTCAAATTTTGTTGAATAAAAACTATCATCAGTCACATTGTGCCACTGTTTAATTAGAAAGAATCTTTATTGAAGTTTTCCGAGGTATTTATTCAGTTATTAAGTCTTCATACTAAAATCCATTCAAATGATAATCAAGGGAATATAGCTGCTGGAATAAAAGATGTTAACTTGAAATTAGGTACAGAGACAATCTGGTACATGAAGTAAGTTTCTTCACACTAAATTTGATAACATTTAAAAGAAGTGTCATAAGCAGTTGCAGAAAAAAATGAAAACTAAAGTATGTAGATTCATTAAAAAAAAGTAATGAATGAAAATAATCAAAGAGAACTTCTTGGGCTGGTGAGATAACTCAGCGGACTAAGTGCCTACTTAGGCAAGCACAGGGACTGGTGTGCAATACCTGGCACCACATGCTGTGCCAGCCCCACCCCCAGATGTGCTAAGCCAGCCACAGAGACTGAGCATGGTGGTGCACGCCTGTAATCCCAGAGTGCTGGGCAGGCTGAAAACATGATGATCACTATGGAGCTGTATAGTGAGACCCTGTACCAAATACATAAAAATAAAATAAAATAAAGTAAATAAAATAAAATGAGGACTTCTTAGAATATTTTAATAGACTGTCAAAACTGAAAATGAGACTCAAATTTATGTAAATTTCTTAAAATTATAATTATTTTAAGTGTATATCATGAATATACAAAACATGTTTGATGCATTGCATAGGATTTCAACTATTTGTGAAACAATAGTGAAAAACACTAGATATGCTATATGACAAGTATTTCGAGGGGGAAAGTTTGTTATTAAATACATATTACCACACAGTAAAATAATACAAGGAGGAGCTGGTGAGATGGCTCAGTGGTCTAAAGCACCTATTTAGAACAAGCTTAGCTAAAGCACAGGGACCGCGGTTCAATCCCCTAGCACCACATGCCAGCCAGCCCCCGCCCCCTGGTGGACTGAGCTGGCCACACACACACTAAATAAATAAATAAATTAATAAATAATGAAAAAAAATAAATATAAAAATAAAATAAAATAATACAAGGAATTTCAGCTTTGCTTTAATGAAAACATATACGTTTTTCTTGCAGAAAACTATCATTAAAATTTGACATTTATATAAAATTACTTACCAATTGTAGGATTATAAAAATACTGGATAAATCGATTTTCTGGCTCTGGAGATTGAAAAGTGTGAACAAACTGGTGGGTGGCACTAGTTTCATTTTTTGCTACATCTTCTAGATAAAATGCTTGTTCCAGAAGAATCTGCCATTGCACTTGAGTTCGACGGTGCCTCTGAACTGAATAAATCACCTAAAAAAAGGAAGTGAAGGGGCAGACCTGTCATTGTTCTCATCTAACTCATTCTTTAGGTAGGTAGGTAGGTAGGTAGGTAGGTATGTATATACTTATTTTTCTCACAACAGAGAAGTGATAGTAGCATTTATTGGGTGGGAAAATGATGTAAGAGTTCTATACAATAGTTGTACTTCTCCCTACTAATTTCCAAGAGCACTTCTGTCCAAAAACACAAAGTTAAAATATTTCAGAAACACTGATACAAAGGGCTGGCCTGATAGCTCAGTGGACTAAAGTGCCTGCTTAGGCAGAGGCAGCAGCCAAGGTTCAATCCCTGGCATGCCATGCTAGCCCCGCCTGCTGGGCATGCTGAGACAACAATTGAGACTGGGCATGGTGGCACTGTAAACCCAGCACTTGGGAGGCTGAAAACAGGAGAATCATTACAAGTTCAATCTACATAGTGAGACCTTATAGACCCTGTGCTAAATACAGAAAAGAAAAAAATAAACAAAAAAAACTCACTGATATAGATAAGATCAAAGAAAGGTTTAGGTACACAGTCAGAATTCCTTCTTTGTAGGTAACAATTATAAATATATTTAAAATCTGTTAATGAAGCTATAATTAATAATTAAAGTTACCTGTTTATGCAACTTTACCAGACTTTTTTCACTTGGATAGGTATTACGCTTTTCATCAAAATCTTCATAATCATCCATGTTCCTACCCATTTTTTCCTGATACTCTGTAGGGCACTAAAAGGAACAGGCAGATTTTTTTTTATTTAATTGTAAAACATATAATTTATTTTCATTAAAAACTTATCATTCTCAACAAGTGTTATAATGAAATAATCTATCTGATGCTAAATAAAGGCTTTAGAATGTTCAAAAAAAAAAACTTATCATTCTCGATCATTTCTAAATTCTCTAAAAATGTACTCTTTCTTTATTAGCATCTCTAAATAGTTCTCCTTGCTAATACTTTTTGGAAAATATTTTAAAAGACGTGTTGTTACTAGTAACTTCCATTCATACTTCTCTTAATATTCAGATATGATTACTGAAGGATGCTGAAGATAGAAAAGCTTATCTACATTAAATAATGAGTATTTGAGATAATTATTCTAAAAAGGCAAAAACTGACTGATTTTCTTTTTTTTTTTTTGCAGAACCAGGGATTGAACTCAGGCCCTCGCGCTTGCCAGGGAAGCGCTTATTCCACTGAGCCATCTCCCTGGCCCCTCGGTCAATTTTTTTTTTTAATTTTCTTAATCAATTAAGAAGAATCATGACAAAGCCAAGAAGCTAAATTTTTAAAAGTCACAGTAGACAGAATTACATACTCTATATGGAATACTGCCATACTATTAGTAATGTATTACGTATATGAACTTGGGTGAGTTAGATAAGCTCTATAAATAAGTCTCAAGAAGTAGCAAGTAAGAGACACAGTTAAAAACTTATTCCTATGACTAAGATTTTAGCCAAAGAAACTTTAGCTAATAATCAGTATAACTGCTTTAAAACACAGGAAGACATATTTTAGTAGTTCTGATGGAAATATAAAAGAAAATGGAAGAACTCTGCAAATAATCACTTTTGAAAGTATATGAGTTTGGCTAATTCAGTACTGCCATATCAAATCTTAGCTGTATGGCTTTCTATTAAATGTCTATGTTATGTATTTCATAATGTCAATTATTTAACAATAAATGAAATATTTCATAAAATGACATGTAGGAAGTCCATTGAAACAAGTTACTGAGGCCAAAGTCTCTTTTCTTATGGGACACATGCCATTAGTGATAATACACAATGACAATTTAAAGGCTCTCTATTGCTGTTTCATGGCAATTAGAATACATTATTTAACATCACCACTAACTCCACATTTCAGTGGCAAATAAATAACAAATCGAATTTAACAAAAAAAGCACTATGTACACATTAATATTAGCTTATGGCAAACATTTCCATTTGTATTGGGAAGACCCTACTCATAGTTTTTTTCATATTTTCCTGAAGTTTTGTTATAAAAAGCAGTAATTTATATAAATTCATATTTAAAAGGAAATAGGTGAGATAATATAATTTAATTACCTTTTTAAGTATTGTGTCAACACACTTTCTCAACGGGTGGTTATATTTGATGCTTTCGTTGACTTTACGAACTTCCTATAAGAGAAATAAAAATATTTGCATGTTTACCCATCAGTCATTTCAAATGAGAATGCACTAAACACTACCTACAGTCTCCAAGTTTAAATTCAACTCTATTTAATATTACACGAAGTTCTTTTCAGTAAATACAAATTCTTAACAATATATATTAAAAAAAAAACAAAATAAGACACACTGTGACTACTGGAAACCCTGGAGGCCTCCACAAAAAAATGCACCAGTGGATTGGACAAATGAATACAGTGGGTAGCACTGGCTGGTGAGTTAGTCATGTTCAGATGTCCCCCAGCAGAGGGCAACTGGTTGGTACCCAATTGAAGAGAACACAGCTGAGATCAGAACTCAGAACGGCTAGCTGCAGGCTGGCTCCATCTAGCAGCTCAGTGTCACGATGAGACTGCCAATTTCAAGCTGGCAGGAGTACATGGGGTGTTATAGGCTGAACAAATCAGGTTCCGGCCTCACAGCTAGAAAGCTGCCTCAGCTTCAGCGGAACTAAACATGCAGCCTTGCTGGGATTAACCACTACCCCACCATAAAGCTCCAGCTGACTTTCTGGGATTAATCAACTTGGATCTGGACTTTGCCCACATTGTCTAAGAGTGACAGCAGAAACATGCCTTGAAGTAGACTTTTTCTTATTTAATTTCTTTTTTTTTCTTACTTTTGTTTTTATTTTGATTATTTTTCATTTTTTATGTGTTAATATGGTTCCTAGTTATTTTGCTGTTCTTTTAATTCTTTTTTATTTCTTTCTTTTCTTTTCTCTCCTGCGTTCTTCTCTAGTTTTCCCAAGTTTGTATTTGTCCTCCAGCCTTGCTCCTAATTTCTTCCTCTTCTTCTATTTCTTCCTCCACAATGCCCTTGAAATTTAATAGCCATACGGAAGGACTACTTACAGCCTACAATTTAGGGTTTGTATTTTGTTTTAAACACAAATCTAGTTCATACAATTAAAGATGGAAAACTAATTTCTACACAGCTTGTCATTTTCTAGACTGTGTTTGATACTACTGCAATAGCTCACTGTACCACTTTAGCCAAAGTGACATGATTGTTCTAATCAGTGTTCTTCCTGTTATACCAAGAAAGAGATTGCCTATGGGCCATAAAGGCAATATAAGCAAGTGCAGAAAACCATGAGCTGGGACAAGTAGGCAGCAATTTTTCATCCTCAATAAATTAAAGAGGTAGATCTTCAAACAGACTCAAAACCCAAAAGCCAGCTACACTTGGAAGATATCTCTAGTCATTTCCTAAAGGTTGTAAGTACTAGTTATAAAGCTGTTCTCCATAAGCAACTTACAAGCAACAACCCAAGAATTAAACAAACAAACAAAAATTAGAAAATGAGATGATATTTAAACAAAATGCAACCCCAAACTTCCAAGTCAATAAAGGCAAGCCCAGGGGGCAATGACATGGAACGATTTGAAATCCACTCACCTGGACTTTACGAAGTAATAATGGCAAAAGTAACAAAGCAGGTGAATGAGGCTCCAGAAAAGACCAAATCAGAAATAATTTCTCAGATAACTACAGAGACATGACTATAGTAAAGACATGCTTAGTGACCCTAGAGCAGATACCCATTAAAACAAAATATAGAAGCTTTGGAAAAATGATGGAAATCATTAACTTCCACATAGCAAAAAAATGAAACCATGAAACAAATTCAAATATACAGTAGATTAAAAATTCCACTGAAAGCATATGTAGGAAAATGAGCCAATGTGAGGCAGAATATCAGATATAGAAGACAGAATTGCAGTTATCAATCATGGAAATAAAAATTTATTAAAAATAACAAAGGGCCATGAAAAAATCAATCCAGTAGCTTTTAGATGATGCAAAGAATAATAACATCAAATTGATGAGTCAAAAAGCAGAACAAGCTGCAAATGAAATTAAAAACTTCTTCATGGAAGTACTGGCAGAAAATGTCCTTGGAAAAGAAAAAGAATTTGACATTCAGTTAAATGAGACATATGGAACACCAACTAGCCATCATAAAAAAAAAAAAAGAAACTATACCAAGGCATAATAGCCAAGATTCCAGAAATACAATACAAGAAAAAATATTAAAAGAAACCGCATGTAAAGAAAAGCCCATCAGAATCAGAGCAGATTTCTCAACACAAACCTTCAAGTCAAAATCTTCAAGTGAAGTATTTCAACTATCAAAGAAAAAAATCTCCAACACAGGTTGGTGTACCCTGTGAAATGATCTTTCAAAACTGATGGAGAAATAAGATACTTCTATGACAAAAACATCTAAGGATATTCATGAACATAAAATCAGCACTCAAAATGTTCTGAAACACATTGTAAAAAGATTTAACAAGGCTTATAATTTCCTGAATTCTAACAGAATGAATCCACCAAGCAAGGCAAGCAATTAAATACAAGGTGGTAAAAAGGGAACCAAGAACAGGAAAAGAACATGACAAGGATAAGTCAGTATGTATCAGTTAAAACCATCCATGTTAATGGTCTCAATTCACCAATCAAAAGAAACAGACTGGCAGAATGGATCAAGAAACAGGATCTATCAATACGCTACATAGAAGAAACACATATAACTTAAAAAGAAATTCATAGACTGAAAGTCAAAAGATGAAAAACAATACTCCATGAGTCAGGAATCCAGAAGAAAGCAGGGGTCACTATTCTATTTGCAGACAACGAAGATTTACACCAAGACTGATTAGGAGAGACAAACAAGATCATTACACCTACACCACATCCTTGTAAAGGAAACAATCCAAGAGCAAGAGATAACAACCATAAATATATATATATATATATATATATATATATATATACCAAATACCAGTGGGCCCAACTATACAAAACAAGTATTAACAGACATAAAAATCAAATTAGCAGAAATGCAATGCAATGGAAATTAAGGAAAAAATGCACAGATCAATTAACTGAAACACTGGTTCTTTGAAAGAGCAAAAAAATTGACAAACCCAAAGCCAACCTTACCAAAAAGAAGAAAGAAAAGACTCATATCCATGTAATTAGGAATAAAATGGTGAAATCAAAACAGATCCTGCAGAAATCCAAAGATCAATACCTACTTTGAGAACTCGTATTTTACTAGGCTAAAGAACATAGAAGGAATAGATTCCCAGATACATATGCATTGCAGAAGCTGAATCAAGAAGATATAAAAATACTAAATGAACTAATATCAGTTAATGACATGAAGATGTACTTAAAAACCTACCAACAAAGAAAAGCCCAGGCTCGGACGGATTCACTGCTAAATTCTATCAGAAATTTACAGAAGGCCTAATGCCACTACTTCACAAACTCATTTATGAAATTGAAAGAGAAACAATACTCCCAAACTTATTCTCTCTCTCTCTCTCTCTTTTTTTTTTTTTGTATTTTAGGGAAGGGTCTATAGGGTGTTCAGGATCTCACTACTAGATCCTACTCATAGTGATCCGCCTGTTTACAGCCTCCCAAGAGCTGGGATTACAGGTGCACACCACCATGCCCAGTCTCAATTGCTGTCTCAGCAAGCCTTAGGGACAGGGCTGGCAAGTCAGGCCTGGGGACCGAATCCCCAGCTCCTGCACCTGCTTGCAGGCACTTTAATCCACTGAGCTATTTGGTCGCCTCTCAAATTCATTTTTAGAAGCAAGTATTACCCTGATACCCAAACCGGAGAAGGATCCAACCAAAAACTACAGGTCAATCTTCCAAATGACCAGAGATGCAAAAAAATCTTCAATAAAATAGTGGCAAACAGAATACAGCATATTATCAAGAAGATTATACACAATGACCAAGTAGTATTCATCCCAGAAATGGTGGGATAGTTCAACATATGCAACTCAATAAATGTAATATACAATATCAATAGTCAAGAACCAAAGCCACAAGATCATCTTAATAGATGCAGAAAGTGTTTGACAAAGTCCAACACCATTCATGATAAAAACTCTACAGAGAATTATAATAGATGGTCTCCATCTCAATCTGATAAAAAAAATCAATAGCTAACATTATACTAAATGGACAAAAGCTGAAAGCTTTCATTCTAAAATGAGAAACACAAGGATGTCCACCATTATCACTCTTATTCAACATAGTTCTGGAAATGTTAGCCAGAACAATTAGAAAGGAGAAAGAAAATGAATTAGGACAGGAAAGGAAGAAGTTAAATTATCACTATTTGCAGATGGTATGCTACTGTACATAGAAGAACCCCCCCCCCAAAAAAAAAACTCCACCAAGACTTCTAGATTTAATAACCAAATTCAGTAGTGTGGCTCTATACAAAGTCAGTACTCAAAAACCAATAGCCAAGGACCAGCAAGATAGCACAGTGGACTAAGCACCTGCTTAGGTAAGCACAGGGACCCGGGTTTGATACCCTGCACCACATGCCATGCCAGCCCCACCTCCAGGCATGCTGAGCCGAGACTGTGCATGCTGGCACATGCCTGTAATCCCAACTCTGGGGAGGATGAAAACAGGAGGCACTGTGAGTCCAAGCTGCACAGTGATATCCTGTACCAAATACATTTTTTTTAAAAAAAGCCTTCCTGTACACAAATAACAAACTCATTTGTGAGAAAAATTAGGAAAACAACAGAATTCACAATAGCATCTAAAAAATAAAATACCTAGTACTCTGAAAAAGGAGACTGATGAGAATATTAGAAAATAGAAAGTTATTCCTTGTTCTTGGGTAGGAAGACCAATAGTTAAAATGGCCGTACTCCCAAAGTTGTTATACAAATTTAATGAAGCCCTTATCAAAATTCCAAAAGCATATCTCACAGAACTAGAGAAATTACTCTTAAAATTTATATGAAACCAGAAGAGACCTAGGATAACAGGAACAATCTTATAAAACAAGGACAAGGCAGGGTGCATCACAATCCCTGACTTGAAACTTACACTGTAAAGATACTGTAACAAAAAGAAAAAAAGCATGCTACTGCCAAAAAGAAACAGAACTGAGGATC